CGGCGCTGCGAGGGTATCCAAGGTTGTCAGCTCATCCACTTCGCTCGAACCGAATTGCAACGAAGAGGATATTTGAGATACACCGTTCGTAGGCTCCCGAGCATTATCATTCTCCTGATAGTTTACATGTCTAAATTCTTGAGTTTGTTGTTTTGTTCTTGACCTTGTTCGGTCTAGTGGTGTTGATGTGGGCATGATGCGAATAGAAGATCCGCAGCAGCAGCATGTGACTATATACTGAAATCCCTAATGGGCACAAAATCTTATCCGCACCACAAAAAATACCCGCAGGCAGGAAGGGAAGAGAGAGGAAAATGAAAGCACAATCTTACTCTAAAGACCCGCATACCTGAAAACTATATAGCCAGCCTCAAGCTAAAGTTCAAAGCTCAACTGAAGAAGATAAAGTAAAATTTTGTGGAGATGACCCTACTATTTACCGAAACTGGAAAGAAATGGAATTATCTGCACCAAAGAAATGGTTGAAGGTTAAAAGGACCAATAACGGTCGTAATCGATTTTTCAATAAAGAGAAGTTCTCCAGTGCACCCACCAGTGCCACGAGGGCCTCTATCGCATTCCTTGAACGCGTGCCGAGGTATTTAGGTGGCATCCGCGACGGGTCGAGGGCTAAAGATAGAATTGTGTGAATATGTGCACGCAACGCATGCCTGGCATCCGACTCGGTGCCTATCCCATGATCCCCGCAATCAACCTGTTCAGGAGGATGCCCACAAGAAGAAGCAGAGACTCGTTGCTTAAGGAAGGAAATGTACTCAATCCCCACGAGAGCAGTGTCGAGTTCTTGACAGAGCTGAATTGCTGAATTAAGAGCCTCCGTCTTTGCCAATAAATGTTCCAGCTTGTAAATGGCAATCGCGACCTCGCGCTGCGTGAAGGTGAGAAGTGCGTCTACCGCAAACGAAAGTATATAATAGGAACTGCCAAGACTGCGTGCAATAAGTCGTAGTGAATTGGTGTCATTAGAGTGGCCGTTGTTATTATGGCTACCGGATGAAGCAGAAGGGATCGGACGGCCCAGGACAGAAAGAAGCTGATTGTCTTGAGTATCTCGGATATGCAAGGACTTGCGGTGCTCACGTAAGGTTATTTGCGCAAAATGTAGAGCACACATATACCCAAACGCACTGCTCCACGCGTCATCCGATAAAGTATCCCCATCCGAAACCCTTTTGCTTATCTTGGGACTTCCCGTAGTGGGATCGTGGTGCACCGGCTTGGCATCGCTACGGCTATCGGCCACCCTCCCACGGCGCTTTCCCCAAAACATAGTGACATAGGTACTCTCGACGACGCCTGCCTCACTCCCGAGGCGAACAGAAAGTCGCTTCGGGAGCAGAATCAATTCTAATTCCTCCGGAAAATGAAAAATTAATTGAAACGACTCGAACACATCCAACATTTCGTAGGCAAGTAAATTCTCGTCACGAGTACAGCTTTCTACATTCCCACCAAGAATGCCTTCGGCATGTCCGTCGTGGATGTCTTTTGATACCTTGTCAGTCTTTATTTTCTTCGGCAGAGGTGGTTTCGTTTGTTTTGGTAACACACGCAACTGAACCAGATTACCGTAACGCTTGCCTCTGAGTGCGTCGGCAAAGAGAGTGCTGATAAGAGTCGAGGCGCTTCCCTCAGCAGGCCCGCCACCGCCATCATGGATGCCTCGGCAAGTACTTATGCGTTGCCACCAGCGCGGCTCTCTATAAAGACGCTCCAAAAACCCTTCGAGAATGCATGCCTTATCACGGCAGAGGGCAACATCAAGAAGGAGATCCAAAGCATGCGCAAAACTAAAGGAAGTAAGCGACTGAGGAAGAAAGGAGAGCGAAACGTCCCCCTTTCTGTGCCCAGCGACCGCTTCTGAACTCACGAAGTGCGTTTTTCCGGATTCCAGAGAGTCGACAAATGACACCTCGTTAGTTAGAATTTCGTCGTCCTGATTGACAGGCCACCTAAAGAGTAGTTCTGTCGCGCCTCGGTGTGTTTTGGACAGTTCAGCAGGGAAAGCCGAGCCCAAACCTTGAAAAAGCCCTGCGGCGCGTCGTTGTTGGAGTTGCTGCACCACGACACCAATGGGAATGAGCAATGCCGCGGCAATCCACCTGGCAGCTGGTGTCGTTGTGTCAAGCCAGAGGACACTTTTATCGATGTCTCGGCGACCTTCTTCGGGGCCCCCTTTCTGTTTATCGAGATCACACGCCCTGTTACAGGCCCATCGTTTACTCAAAAGAAGCTCAGGCGACGTTGAGGAGTCACACACCTGGAGGTACCATAATGAGCCCCGACCATAGTGGTCGGGCCTCTCTCCGTTCCCTTTCCAGCCTCCCCGCGCGCCCTGAGCGTCACCGAAGAGGCAATGACCTACGACCCATGCATCATGCGCCATGGTGGTAAAACACAGTGGCAACGCTCTTGGAAATTCCAGGAAAGATTCTGTATGCTGACCCACGCAACTGGGGCCATCACCTTCGTGGGTAGATAGGTTCCAGGAAGGGTCGACTCGTTGCCGAGGCAAGCCCCACGGCTGTAACGTATCTTTCCTCGTTCCCTCAGCTTTATTGTTGTCCGTAAAGGGTAGTCCAGATGGGCAACGCTGAGGATCGTGCCGGATCCCCATGGCAGATTGACCCCCCCCCTCCCCCCTATGCTCGCGGGGTTCATCCAAGCAGGTATCTCCGTAGGAAGGTTCAGAGAACTGCCTGTAGGCTGAATAGGGGAGGAGGTGGTGGTGGTGGTGGTGTTTGGTGCGATGCAAGCGTCCTGCTTTTCGCCACGATCCTTTACGATTAGGCTCTTGTGCTTTTGTCGTGCAAAGTTTAGCAGACTGTATAGAATAGACCGACGCGCCGATAGAAGCATCGAAAGAGTCTTGAAAGGTTCTAACGAAACAGCGCTTTTCTGATAGTCGACACAGCTCAGAACCAGCGACAGAACATCAGTTGGGTAGCGTCGGTGCGCACCACCCACACGAATGTGCGAAAATGAAGAGCGAAAGAGACGCGGTAGCTGGTGACGCCATTTTTGTGAGTCGATATCGTGCACAAAGCCAAACATGGTGGATGTTGAGAGAATTACGTAGGGCCAAGCGCAATGAATAAGCAGCGACATATATAAACGGTATAAATCCATCGCACCGGGATGCTGCAACGCACTAAGTTGAATGATGAGGTAGTCAAGGAGTGCAGCACCGAGTTCAGTGCATTGGTTTAGGAAGGCAAACTCCGCCATGGCGGAAGTGCTCAGTGGTGGGGGTTGTCCAGCCGTGGTCTCTCTATGGTCCTCTTCGGATCTCCCACCTGGTGCCGCCACACCACCGGAATCAGCCAACTTTGTGTGAAATGTATTAAAACAACTACTTCCATCAATGATAACTAGACACTGCTGCAAGAGTATGGCATTACGTTCGACAGCGGAAATGATTTGGGGAAGATATGAATTAGTGAGAAAAACAGGCCCGCCGCTCGTGGAATGCACCTTTAAAGTGGGATCTGCAGATGTCCCTTCCGTTTTGTACATCTTTCTCACACCTTCTATGGAATATGGCTGTGAGGATTGTAAAGAAACATGGTCTCCTCCCTTTCCCACGCCTCTTGGGGCGAAGTCCTTGACTAGAGGAGGTGAGGCACGTGGTACATTGCCGGTTATGTTAAGGCTGCTCGTACGCAGCCCCATCCCCGGGCCATTCATTAGCGGGTCCGATGATTCACCAGATCTGGAGTTCACCATCAGATTCTCCTGTACCTGAAAGACCCAAACTTTGAACTCCTGAATCCATGCACTCACAAGCTCTGCAAATCGAAGGAGGGTGCCGAGAGAAGTCAAACCAATCGCACGATCTGCATGGACCGTTCGATCCCCAATACTGGCCTTTCCAAAAAAAAAATCTGCTTCCACAGTATAGGTTGAATCTGCCTGTGCCTTTACCCTGTGGTATTGCTCATAAAAAGCGTCAAGTCGTGCTTGAAGAGCATGGATATCGTCAGCAATGTTCAATAGCTTTTGCAAGGCGCTTACATAGATGGTCCTGTCTTTTCCAGAAAGCAATTGGTCACGTACCTCTGGTTTGAGCCTCCACGAAGCAGGAAACCTTGCCCGGCTTTGACTTGAGTCACAAATCCCAGGGCCGGTTTCTTGTACACAAAACTTGCACGCACTTAGCCTCAGCGCACACATCACATCGAAAAGCAGAAGAACATGAAATCTTGCTTCGTCGAAAGTCTTTGGCGGGCCATTTCTAGTGTCAAAGGAATAACCTTGAGACGGACGTGCCGAAAAGTCACGCTGGGCAAAGTCGTCCTCTTCCCCCGTAGTGGCACAACTCAGATGCGCACTAAGAGGTTGATTCAGGGCTCTAATGACTTGCTTAGCCGTTTGGCCCTGTATTCGATGGAAGTTGTCTTGGCTCTCACTCGCACCACACGATTCCAACTCCGTTTCCTTAATGTGAAGGCGCAGCTGTCTGTGATGGCTATTCGAGCAGCTCATGCGGTGCTGCCCACCTAACATTCGAGCGCGGCCGCGGAGTGGGGATACTACCGATTCGGCAGACCACGAGCTGATACCAGCTTCTTTGGGCGAGGTTGTAGATGAGCCGTCGCTGTCACTATCCAGACGACACGCTGCATAGTATTCATTTAGTGAATGATCGATCATAATTCGTAAAACGAGTAGTAGAACTTTCCCTTTGGTACCAAACCTATTGCACGCTGAGTCAACGTGATGTTGGGTGCCGTTCCTTTAGAAACTAGATGAGTTTGCGAACTTTTGCGGTTAAGAATGATGATTGCTAAGTGTACAGAAAGGTATACACATAAACGCCCTACGTTCTTATCTCCATTCACCACACCTTGCTATAGAGGCACGTTCTTACGATTGCGATTGTATTTTTTTTTCGAACGATTTCCATACTTCCTTTGGGAATGGATTTGAAAGTTATTTTCACATGCCTGTAAGTGAAAAAGAAAAAAATACCACTGTACCGCTTATGAATGATTTTCTATAACACTTATCTGAATTTCACTTTTCGCCCACTGCATGGGGAGTTGTCCATGCGGTCTTTAGAGCGCCTATACTTTTCATGCCCTACTATCATGAGCCTTTGGACCATTAGTATGTTTTTTGTGAAGCTATATCGAGTAATAACATTGAAGTAAATATTTGAGAAATTATTACGATGAAAAGAAGCGCGAAACATCGCTAATTGATCCCCCTATTCGCGATTCAGTTTTCCAAGGTCTTACAACATAAAATAAATTTTCTTGCTTTTTTGGAAAATATGTCAAAAAGGCCAGAAATGAAACTTCATTACAGCCTATTTAAAGGCAAAAATGCGTAGTTAATTGCAACATCACTACAAAGCCATTGATGTGCTTAAGAGCGAAAGGTAATAAAACGGATCATCATATAAAAGAAAACAGAGAACTTGAATAAATCCCTTAACCTAAAAAAAAGAATTCGCACATTTACGTAAAAAGAAAAAGCATGAGAATTCGACAAGATCCCACAAGTGTGCACCTTACGATCAAGTGGAAGTCTATTTAAAGAGTAGAAAGGCTTCCAGCCACAAAGGTATCAAAATTGAAGACCACTTCCCCTGTACGCTGCCGATCATAGAACATAAAAACACTACGTACCTTGGAAATATAGATGGACAGTTCGATGTAGTCGTCGAATCCTAAGGAGCCGCTCCTACTACGATCAAACTTGCGCATTAACGCCTGAAATGTATCCTCCGAAAGTGGATAGCCACCCTCGATCAGCGCCATTCGTATCTCGTTACCATCTAGGCGTCCCTCTTTTGATTTATCACGTTGAACAAATCGTGCAAACATGACTTGAACAAATGCGTAGAGCCCTTCAAACTCACCAAAGCTTAGAGCCCCCGGCCTCTCCCCGCTAAACATGTTGAGTAGCTTCTCCGTTGTAGCAAGACTGAATGTCGTACCGGCTGAGGAAAGAGCTTGATTCAGTTCATTTACGTCTATAAAACCACTACCATCTTTATCGACCGCTTGAAAGGCATTTTGCAACGTTGGCATAGGCATCTGCATAGAAGTGTCAACCGGGTAGGGACTTGGTGAATAGTACTGAGGCTGAGTGTACCCACCGATACATAGGGGAGGTTGGTTCGGGTACACGGCGGGAGGGTACCCAGGAGCTTTTGGAGGGGGTTGGGGGGGGCATTGGTCAGGCGGGTACGCACTGTAGGGAGGCTGTTGAGGTGGGTAAGACATGGTCGTTTGGAAGAAGCGGTAAAAAAGGATATAACGTGGATGCAACAAATGGGTGTGTGTTTGTGATTGTGTGTGCACCTTACGGGATGGTTACCTGAAAATATTGGGCACCCAAATGTGATTTGAAAATAAAAATAAGCGATATGCAAAAGAAATGTTACTGAAAAAAATAACAATACCTGTAGAAAGAGAGAAAAAAAAGGATGATGAATATGCTCAGTGCTTCAGGTTAGCATGTGTATGATACCATTGTACTCTCTAATAGTCACAGAGAGTCAAATAAATAGTTAAAAGGATGAAAAGACATCCAGGTCGCCGAACTAGCAACGCAGTCGTTTAGCATATTCTGCTTTTATTCTCCTTGAGACAATAATGCGATAGAGGAGGGAAAAATCCCAGTCCTCCTCTGAAGTTCTTTAGAAATGGATATACATCTAAGTTCTGTTTTAATGAGACGCGAAATGAAAATGCGCCTTGAAAAGAAACACAACTTGGAGATTTTAAAAATGAATAAATATGTATGATCTCTGAATATTTGTGTTTTATTATACAATGCTTCAAAAAAGGAAAAACCTTTTCTGACAATTTCTTTGTCTGATAGTATATAAAGAAAATCGCCAATGCCCTCGGAAGCCTGTCATTTGCTTAAGGCAGGCTTTAAAAGCAAGAGCATTGAAACAGAGAGGCGAATCAGTTGACGAAACATTCCCCTCTAAAGTCCTTCGGACAACTAACACACACCCGATTAGGCATATGCCCCCGTGTATTGTATACCCACTTGTTCAATCAATTTCATTGGCAGAACCCCACATAAAAGCAGGTCACTGCCCGTTAGAACCCTTGCTATAACCTGTCACCTTCCTCTTCCTACTCTTGCTTCGACTGAAAAGCTTACACACCTGTATGAGGCTACTTCTAGAGTAAGTGGGAAAAATCCTCAAACTCGTCTTCGGCTTCTAAAGTCATCCGGGTCAAGGTAGGTTGATCCGGCTGAGCTCCCGCCTCATCGTCATAGACCCGAAAATCTGCATCAATCTCGGTGCACTGCTCGATTGCGTAGAGCAACTTGTCATGCATCACCTCCACTGAACTGTACTGAGGGAGGGTCAGCCAATAAAAACAGGTCGAGGCATGCGGTAGACGGTCATCATCAAATGATTCTACCACATGATCCGAAGATGCTACCACCGCCTGCGTTGACCTAGGGGACGGACTCTCCGTTGAGGACGATCTCGGTTGTGGTGGGGGTGGGGGGGTAAAGCGCTGACCCCTAGGGGACCGAGCGTTAGAGTGATCCGGAAGAATCTTAAGCTGGATTCCCTGCGGCAAGCGCTCGCGACCACTGACAAAGCGTGCAAAGAGCGCCCGTTGCTCCCGCGTGAAGCCACGCAGGACTTGCCGCAGGTAAACCACTCTGGTGTCGCTCGGTTCCAGGTTTTCGTAGCGAGCTGCGTCCAGTAGTGCGTCTGGGTCGTAGTCTCGCTGCCCACACACCAGCGCCTCTAACTCAAACCATTTTAAGCTTGACACGGCGTAAAGCGGGACTGACTGATGAAATCCTTCACATAGCGCATATAGCTGTGCGGATACGAGGTGAGTAAGCCTAAAGGATAACATCAGACGGACGTAATCATGAGCGTTAGCACGATTCACCGAAATGTTTCGGCCGTTGTATATCATTTCGTGTTCGGTACCGGTTCCATCCTGCATAACAAAGCCATCAGGGCACAATACGGTTGATAGTTCCTCATCAATGTCTTCCGTTTCTCTTTCAAGAGAGGAGGAATCCAAGCAAACCGTGTTTTCAATATATTGAAGTGCACGGAAGGTCGAAACGTCAGTCTGTGCCAAATCCTCCATGTCAACGACATCGCCCACTAAAAGTTTCCATACAAAACTTGGAAAATAAAGTGAGAGTGGCTCTGCCCCACGTAAACATCCTGCCATCAACCGCCCGATGAAACGGTACATCGCGGTGCTCACTGGTGGTGCCAAGAGGGGATGGATCACAAACGCATCCCACTGCTCGCTGAGGTCGGATCCTTGACTAGGAATGGGCATAAAAAGCGGAAGTTTCGTGCTCATGAGCTCAGAACACAGTTGCGCAAGACTTTCCCGATAGGGGCCACCAACATCATCAGCCCCTTCACCGTAAAAACTAACGGTCCAGAGGTTTCGATTCCTGCAAAAGAACGAATAGTCTTTATCGGCCAAGAGGGAAAAGATTTGACCAAACAAGCTATCACGCATGCGAGTCGCGAGGGCTGACGGTGAGTTGGTGATATTGGTCTGCATGGTCGCGAGTGCCTTACGGCGATTCACACGCAGTCGCAGGGTCTCACTGGACGCGCTGCAGGTCTCTTGTAACGCATGACGTATCGTGCGAATTCCTAAGTACGGCAATGCAAATCGTCTTAGGCGATGCAAAGAATCTCTAAAAGGGCCAATATAGACTGGATAAGCGAGGTTGCTATCGGTTCTATGCGGAATAGACACTTCCTGAGCCAAGGCCATGAGTACTTCGGCAGCGCTGGAGAAAATGTTCAGCAGCTCAAACAACACCTTCACCGAATTGGCATCCTCTTCTTTTGAAAAAGGCGAAGCAGCAGCGGCACCACGAGCTTGAAGAGGAGTTTCATAGCATTGGGTAGTTGCCAGACTTTCTGTGATTGTACAGGTTAAGGCAATAGCAGAAGCTGGAGAGCCGAGGGTGGAAAGCGAAGGGAAACGCCCAAAATTTTTGGATTCTAGCGCGTAGCACAGGCCGTACGCGGAAAAATTGTGAAGACTAAGGTCCATGCTTCTGCTAATTTTGGACGCCATCTTTTCCAATTGGGAAAGACATAATGGCTGCCTATAAGGCGCATCGGAGGGGTCCTTCCCGGAGAGATAGTATGTCCGCATGGCGTCGGTTATAACATCCTCAGCGCCAATGGGTTTGTACGATTTGCCAGGAGGATAAAGCAAATCCCTTCGGTTACATAGAAATACTATGGATCCCCGCATATAGTGTGCTTTCACAACTGGTGAAAGACCGACCTCAGGGCAGACAACATTCTTGAACAAAATGCCGTCACCCTCAATATCATGCACTTCCAACACAAGTCTCCCGTTCACTGTGAAGCTCATTGTGCCAGAGTCGCAGTCCAATAAGCAACCCAATACATCACCATCACGCCAGTTATGATGCCGTAGACGAGTTACCCGCCCATTGTGCCTGACAACCATGCGCTCCGTTTCAATGACCCATGATTCGTTGTCATCGCCCAAAACTCTGCTGCTACCACCTGTGCCACCTCCTCGTCCTCCGTTGGATTCAGCTACAACCCAGCCAACGCTGAGATCGATGATACCCTTCAAAAGAACTTCATAGTACCAACGGCCACGGCGGACTGCCACACCTGCGTGCATAATACACGGTCCAGTAGTGTGATTCTCGGTATAGATCTCATTGGTGTGACGATTCACACACACGTGGGGCGCGGAACACAAGATGTCGACGGAGAGCGGTCCGTCACGCCCTTCACAATACTTCCGGATGTAGCTATGCACAGTTTGAAACGTCCCATCAGGTACAAAAGTTTGCTGAACCGTGCCATCATTTGCCTTACTTTCCTTTATTCTTGATACCCATTTGACGGCAATCATAGCGTACCAAAATCGGCACATCTGCGGATTACAGTAGAGCTTGGGGTTAACCGGCAAGAAGCCTAATGGAAGGTCTTCCGCGAAAGGTGCTTCACCGAGATTTACCACACACATGCAGCTATTCACCGATACGCAGGGAAAATAGCTGCATATGGGGGGCGAGGTTGTGGGAGTCTTGGAGTTGAAGGCTTGTTTGCGATGCATTGTCAGCTCCGCCAACCTTTTCCCATGGTATAAGAATACGAGTTCCTTCTGCTCAAGATCCATCAACACACCAAGGATGTCACCTGCAGCCCAGTTGATATGCTCCTCTAAGTCGGAGCGGTAACCTTCGATCAGTAAGCACTGGTGGCTGATATCAAAACCCCAGGAGTCTGGATAAGCTCCAATCATCTCAACACCACTCTTGCTCAATTGGCTGCGATCTGTAACGACGCCGACCGAAACCGCACCCTCAGTCTCCAAGAGCCGCAACTCGAAGTAAAAGCGTCCAGACGTAAATCCACATGAACTGATAGCCATAGCATGACCACAGCTACGCCGCACACGCCACTCCCCATTCCCAAGGGCTGTGCAGGAGACCGAGGCGCTAGTTAAGGCAAGGGACTTATTAGATGGTTGAAGAATCTGCATACTGACGATATGCCCTCCGTACCGAGTATCTGGTGAATGCAGCACCGTGTCCAAGTTATTTTCACCGGAATCGACCCCTGTTGATGCAGCCGATGAAAACGGATCAGGAAGTATCGTACACCTCATGGCTTTGCTAGCGACAGTGCGGTGAGCAATAGCAGTGACATCCAGTTGAGGCACATGCCTATCTACGGAAAGTGCTACCTTGCTCTCACCTGAGTTATTGAAAGTGGCACATGGGGCCGTCTCCACCGTGGATAGCGTTATCGCACAATTTCCCCAGACCTTCAGGATTTGATGCCATCCATATGCCACACGCTGCCGAAATGACCGCTTGGTCCACAGGCAGTCTAGGCGAATTGCATTAAACATCAATGAGAAGAGCGATTGGACACAAGAATAATAAACACCCAGGCTAGATGCCACTGGGCTGTTGTGATCAAAGGGCAAACTCATCGATCGCCCACGGTGGTGTAAAGCCTCCATGAAGCATACGTTAATATGTGACAAGGATACGTGCAGGGGAACATGATCGTAGGGTTGCAAGTGTGGAAACGCAGCCCACAGATCAAAAACACATGCAAGGATGTTTATGGCATGCGTACGGTACCGGGTATAACGATCCTTGGGCACCAGAGAAAAGACACCAGAATTTGAAAGATAATGCACCATACTAGCGTTCAAAAACGCCGGAAGAGAGCGTTCCATTCGAGACGGATCACACCATTTTGATTTGTCTGAACTGTTTTTACTACCTGAGAGCGCGGCTGACTTTTTGATCTCCTGCGCTAATGAAGTGAAGAGGATCTCCATGACAACTCCTCGAAGACTGGCAACCGAGACAATCAGGCAAAGCTTCTTCTCTAACTGAGACGCGAAAGGGCCACCAAGTGACTGAGGCGGCGGCCTTGACGCAGGAGTGACGCTGAAGTAGGTCCAGGGCATGGATCGGTCTGGCACTAGAGCCATCTCCGTATCAGACCATATGCCCTGGAGGTCTGGATATTTAACCAATACATTCTTCATGGCTCTATCTCGAAAAACGGTAAGTTGCTCACACCTACCGTTCATAGTAGTTAAAACCTTCACGTGGCCTTTGCCACCGCTGAAAAGTGCAAGTGGCATAAGCAAAGGCAACTTTGCATCACTCTTAGGAGCGCTTCCACCACGACTGTTAGTGCAATCACTACTATCATTCCCAGTAGGACACAATGTAAGGGGTATTTCCATATGAAAAACCTCTTCCTCGAAACTGAGCATCAGCTTTATGTTGACAGCCATTTCCTCAATGAGCTCATCAAACAAATCGAGCTGGTCAGCGGAATGGCAATAGCGCACCACATAGAGCATAAAGTCACGGAGCAAGTTTGCACTGCTAACAGGCAAATAGTCTTCATCACCGCATGAAAATAGATCGGCCAACTGTCGGGAAAGTTGGATGTGGTCGAAAATACGAAAAGGGTTAAAGTAGTTGTACTCTGTGAGTGCAGGCACTTTACCGTCCTTCTGTTGCAACTGCAGGACCCTATCTAGCCTTCGACCGCACAGCACGTGTAGCCGATAGTCTGTACTCAAGGACTGCAACATAGCTTGTTTCACAGTCGCTTGCGATAGGCGGACTACCAGTGACCATGCCAACTGGGCAGTAATGAGCGTGAGGCCATTAAAGTCCAGCGCGTTCATGAAGGTAGTGATCTCCTCGTGAGGAAATAAGAAGGGCTCGTCTCGGTTCGAGGTCAAAAGCGGTTTGTCAGGTAAGTCCACAAGAAAAGAGGGTAAGCGAAACAGGCAATTAGCCCATCGAATCAGGCCTGAGAGCTTGCCTCTAAACTGTCGGCAAAAAGACCCAACTGTGTCACCTGTCCCTTCGCGTAGCTGAAATAGGCATGTATTGCCTTCAGCAGAATCGTTTAGGTTCATCAGGATGTGGTCCCGGGCTACCATTTCAGCGATATCCTTGATTGCAGTCTTCATGAAAAGTGTCGAGTTGGTCATCCGCAGACTCGTAATGAACACCATACGATGGTAGTGGTTGCCTGGCGTATCCTCATTCTCGGCAGGAAGTGAGGTGGCACCCTCAGTTGGATTATTTGAGGTGTCTTTGGGAGCTTTCTCCAAAAGTGAGGTATTGCCCAAAACAAGCTGGCGTACCACTCCGTCAGTTTGAAAAATAAAAGTGAGCACGTCTAGTGTGGTTAGCGTGAGAGGTACAGATGTTACCTCCCCCGCCCGAGCCAAAGTCAAGCGTTGGGCATCTAACATTACAGCGACATGCATGAAACAGTTCCAGTGCTTGTTTTTCAAAGGCAAGCTACACTCAACTAGATTACTCATATTATCTTGGGTACGAGGCTTACTACCACTCCTTTTGGCACTTCCCCAGAGAAAAGAAGTGACGTTCACTGCACATTTTAGGTTCCCTTTCTCTACAAACAACTGTAAGATGGGAGTGGCAGATGAAGCCGGACTGTCCGGCTCTTTGTTAACGTTGCCGCTGGTGTTGTGTATGGACTGTGAATCGACGGACGCATATACAGTTAAAATGGAAAAAACGCTCGCATCGCGTTTCCGGCCTCCCAATGCCTCCTTGGCACACGCAGATATCGAGGAGGACTGCAGCGACGGAATCGCGCAGTAGTCACCAAGCTCTGGAAACAGTTGGTCACTCAGCATTATGGATGCCTCGAATGCAATAGCATTCGCCCACAATGGAAATGAACGAGTACGGGGCTTGATGGGTTCTATAACAACTTTGGCATCGCACTGATGTGCTTGGCTCACTAGGTTTGAAAGGCTAAAACAAAGCGCAGAGGTTTGACCCTCTGAACGGGATGCACTCGCAATCGCGTGAAGTCGCTCTTCAGAGTCGCCTGGATCACCTTCCTCGAAGGAGGAAGACCAGGGAACTTGATCGTATGAGTTCCGTTTGTACGCTGCTTCAGGTCCATTCGTCGGATCCCGAAGAAAGCAAACACCATGAAACTGTGAAGCATTTGGGTGAAAGAAAATGGGTCGAACCCCGTTGCCAAGCCCAGTCCCAGCTGAATCAGAAATTTGACCCAGTGAAGCGCCATCATAGTAAAGAAACGAGTTCGAAAGCAAGGATGCTATACGCTGGTGAGCTTGAAGCGTCACTCGCATCTCCGGAGGAGCATGTGGTAAGCGAGATTTTACCTCACCCTCATGATTGGAGATGGCGCCACCACTACGCTTTGGGCTTCCAGGATCATTTAAGCCTCCTTTGTCATCCTTCGGGACTTCCAAAGCGACCCCTATCCGGTTATTTTGTGTGCACTCCAAGCGGAGTAAAGTAACGTATCGATGCAATGCGTGGCCTGTGTAGTCGTTAATATAGTTCATGGGCAGCGGGACATGCGGCTTCTGGATGCATGTTAATCGTCTTATAAGTAGAAAAGTCCCACATTCTAGGAGTTCATCAAAGAATGGTGGGTGCGTCAAGGCGCACTGGAGGGCCATAGACACAAAACCACTAAGGACTACCACTTCTACCGAATCCAAGCACATTAGGCGGTTTCTGTTATGCAGATCGGACAGAAAGTGCTCGAGTGCGGGAACAATAAAATTGTGAGCGATTCCCTCGTATGGAACGATGGATGCAGGCTCAAGTGGAGACGGCTGCAACACAAAATCTCGCGACACATTGTCCTCCTTCCCCCAGACGATTGGATTGTAACAATCCTCAGCAGCACCCGCAACAGCGAAAGAACTCTTTCCCGAAGGGTCAGCCTCACGGCAGACGCGGGTAGGCCGCAGGCGTCCTTCGATAAGGTCCCTCATATCGCCACACGCGCGGTTTGTGGGGACTATTGTGACAGTATTGTTCCCCGCCCGAGCATCGATCAAATAGCCCTCAACAATAGCACTATTGCCCTCCTCGTGATAATACACACGCATTCCCTCACATGGCACGAGAGGGGTGCAACCGCCCAGCGCTGAAACCCAGCACAAGAGCTTCCAGGAATTCATGAGCTGTGCTTGTCCATTTTGGTAACCAGAATCAACTTTTGTTTGTGAAGGGCGCATCGTTGACAATGCACTATGCCCTTTTAAATCCATTTGGAAAATAGGCACAAGTCCCTCTAGCTCTGCTGCCCAGTCAAGCTGTAGAAGGACCTGCCGCAGCATCAGTAAAGCGTGCTTCGAGAGGCTGCTAAGACCTGTTGCAGAAAGACAACGCACGGCAAAGGCAAAGAGAGATAGAAATGTCGAGTTCTGACTGCTCTCCCTCCTTGGCTCAAGAGATGGGTTGGAAATATGTGGGTAACAGAGCTCTTTAATTTCACTCCGTGCAAAACATTCGTTTGCAATCCTCGGAGAATTATGCATGAGCAGACACCCTATCAGACGGATCTGTGCGGAGAGCTTGATAAGAGTGGTAAACTTCAGTTCGTCTCGCTGATCAGCGTCATTCGTCACATTTGCGGGGAACTCATCATCTTGAGGGGTTTGAGCCCACAATGAAAGCTCTAACGAAACTAGCTGATAAAAAATCGATGCCATCGTAGCGACAGCCTGGCTCAAAGATGCATCACCAAATTTGTAAGAAGGACAAAAGGCGCTCATAATAGTAGAAAGGAGACTTGAAAAAACTTCGATTTGTTCCAGCAACAAATTAAGTTCAGGGGAAAATATGCACGTTGCCTTCTTCCCTCCACTACCCTCATTCCGGTTTGTTTGACGGAGGTGATGTTGTTCAAACTCCAGTGTACTGCGTTTGAGATAAGAAAGACATGAATCCATCTCTGTCATGATTATTTGGAAAAGATGCGTGAGGAATGCGTTGCAGGCCATTCTCTCAGTACGCGTGAGATCCTCATTCTGCAAAGCAGTTGCACATCGCAGACCCAAGTGTTTCATAGAGTCAAGGGCCGTGTATTTTGCTTGCTCGCGTAACGTCCGCACGAGCGGGCCTTCCAAGGAGTCTGTGTCACCACCATCCATCGTTGCAGAAGTGAAGTGTTCCTTTCCTCGAGTAGTCGGTCGCTTAAAAGAAGGGGATACCGTTTGACTAATCTTCCTTTGGAACTGAAGCACTTCTCGGCGATGTTGGCGTGCCACAAGATCCTCTTCGCGCAAAGAAGGCAGACGCCCACCCGCACATACCTGTGGATATTCCTCAAAAATTGAGGCGTAGGTTTTAACGATGAATTCCACCACATGATATTTACAGAGAAAGGCAAAGCCACGGGGATGCCAAGCGAGCTTAAGTGCCGCACAAAGCACTGGTGAGGAAATATTCCCATTCCGACTCCGTTCACACGCCTCCTTATTCGACACAGACTCACACTTTGTTGTCTTGCCTTCTACATTGTGGCAAGAGCGATCCTGAGCGTACTTCATAAAATGCCACAAAATGTCATATTCAACACTGCGAAGTTTCCAGATGCATGTGTGACGACAGCCTGCTAGATTGTCCTCACACTGCATTTGCTTATGATGACCAAATCCACCACTAAGAAGAAACGAAACATTCTCCGTACAGGACGGCTGACTCTGCATCAGATGTAGCAGCTGGGTTAAGCCGCGAAGGCGAATAGTCACCAGCTCTTCACGCTCACGAAAAGTGTTTATGAGATCCACCGCGCTGAAACTAGTCGAACAGGCAACCTGGGATACTAGATTGATGCTAGAACTAAGACTTAAAGCATCGTTCCGATACACATCTGCACGCCACCTTATGGCTAAAAGCCTCAATCGGCGACGCACCCAGAACCATCGTTGCCTCGGTTGTGTTGGGAAAGCAAGGACCCCATCAACGGTGGAATTTTGCGATAAGAGGTACAAGATTTCATCGCTCGCAGCGGCGTCCAACAAACATGTGGTGGAAAGCAATATACTGCAGCGGCATTGAACATCATTCAGGATGTCGGAAAAGGCTGTCGCACTTTTCTGCTCCTTAGTATGGTGCCAAAGGAGTTCGTTTCGAACAGAAGTTAAGCGACGCATAACACGCTTCACGAGCGCTTTGGCAATCTCCTCAGATCGGCTGCCGGTGGTTTGGAGTGGCTCATTGCTTAAAAAAATGGAGGCAACAGCTAAGTACGCCAAGATGACAGATATTCGATCTGGAACCCTAGGCGCTAGCGCGTCAAAACCACGTTGCGAGGCAATCCAATGTGACGTATTGGAATTGAAAAGATTTAATAGAAATATCTGACGTCGACTTCCCTCATTCAAAACAGGCAAAGATTCGGGTGTGTGTGCTGCGTCGAAAAAAGACTGCACCACGCCCCCGGAGAGTAGTAGTTTCTTTGTGATCTCTTGTAACACAGAAGTCTTTCCTTTGTCGACGCACTCCCTGATCTTTGCCGTAGAATTAGTAACCCTGGAGCCGTTGACGCTTGGAAAGAGAGGTAATCCGGAAGCAGTATCTGGACGAATAGGTGTTGGTGAAACAACATTCGACGGTATGGTGCTTGTGTTGAGTACCTTAGGCACATCCGAGACTGAGGACGTAAATGTGGATGTAAATACCATACTCGTTGCGATACATGAAGTTGTGAAGATCACAGCCTTGTACAATGCCTCTAGTGCAGACTCTTCCCCGGGCTTATGTGGCACCTCGTTCTTTAGACTCGTGCCGCAGGCGTGAGGATCCGGTGTTGAGTACGTTTCCAGAACATTTTTTTCTGCAGCAAAGTTTTGAATTTCGTCACGCACATCTTTACATAATGGTATCAAATTATGCAGGAGATCCAGAAACCATGATGCATCCGAGCGCTGAAGAAGAATGGGGATAGCTGTGATTGCCGAATGCAACACAGAGTCTGGCACGTAAAGTTTTAGCTGTGCCAGGACGTTTTCTAAGCTTCCTCGCGCAAGGCTGCTATTTGTTTGATCGCCCATGGTCTCCGCTTCATGGACATTTTGAAGCGATGAAGCTCTACTCAAAACCCTTTTCGAAAACTTTAGAGATTCTGTTGCGAAATCGAAAAAAATTTCGTAATAATTTCGCACCCAGTTCTCTACAACAGGCCCGTCATTCGTTTTACTGAATTTCTGAGACTTTTTGTTGGAGATTAATACCTCTTCAATGTTCTCCTTATCATCATTTTCAGTTGTCGAATGAAATAAATTTGATGATGACGTCAAATCAATATTAGTTTGTCGGGGGAATACCTTGTCAAGAAACAGGCCAAACCCACTCGTGTCTGTACAAAGTGTACTGAAAAGTAAAAGCTGAAAGGAGCTGATGGCGTCTTGAAGTGCGACAAATTTTCCTGTTTTGTCCAACACTTGAAGTTGTGTAGCCAATGAAGCAAAAAATGGAGAGGCCGATGTGGGACTTTCCAATGGTTGGGTAGAGTGGCCGCGATTATATTCATTTGAGAAGCCAGAAAGTAGGGACCTCTGCCGCATTAAACACAACTTCATAAGTGCTTGCTGTGTATCGATAATCTCCTTGAGAGCTGTTTGAGAAACCGACTGCAACTTCTCCACGCTATTTGGTGACACGGGAGCATCAGTGTTATCCAAATCTGTGTACAGAAGAGGCGACACAGAGCAAACAGAAGAAAAGCTACACACAATGCCATCCAAAAGTGGAACCAAGGTGGAAGTCTGTTCTGGACTTGCCATATGGGACTCTTTTGAGGGAACGACGTGGGCCGTTGAGGATGGTGGTGAGTTCATTTTCAGAGAAACATTTGCCAGTGAATCACGCAACACAGCAGCTCGGTACCGAGCATTTGGCATGAAGATAGACATACTTTCCATCACAATTTGTTGTGCCAGTTGTCCCAGGTGGGAATGCATTTGTGTTCCTATCCCGAATATGATATCATTCAAAATAGCAAGAAGCGTCGTGCCGTCGTCCACAGGCGGTAAGGCTGCGTCAGGAGAAGGCGACAGGACGCGGTCCTGTTTACCAGTTTCTGTGCAAGTACTTGTGTTATTCAGAGCGCTTATTAGTAAACTCCTCGAAGACAAGGCACTGTTCGAACTATTTAACACTGCCCCAAAGAGTTCAGAGGTCTTATCATACTCACACACACTTAAGCCAAGGGCTGATGGATGAAGTCCATACCCCTGCACTCGACGAATAAATCTCAGAAAGATAATCAGAGTCCAATGAAGGATCATCTCAGAAGAACTCGACGAAAGTGCAACGGCCCGTGGCGCGCCAGGTCCTTTGATCCATCGTAAATGTTCCTGAAAGGTCTTTTTAATCTCTTGTACGCACGGTTGCCCGACGTCGTCGGCCAGTGGTGAAAACAACTGTAAAACTTCGCCCATCGGCTCCACTTGGGCACGCTTGCCTAGCACCTCGAACAATTTTATAGCTAGGTCGAGGTAGGTAAGGGATCGATGCGGCGGAGAGGGTCCGCTTACCCCTCCTCGATCGTGGTTTCTCTCGCCTGGTAAGCTGACAGAAGAGGGTCCTTGAAGACGAACCTGCGCACAATCCCTGGCCGATAAGGTTTTTCGTCCGCACGTGCCCCCCACTGAAACAGCAGGATAGGTTGGAGGGTATGCAGCCTCATTGCTGGGATTCAAACTTGAATCGGTGATGGTTGAGCATGCTGCGAATAACGATGACAGTTGAGGCACAGCAGAATTACCATGAGACGTCGTTAGCAGATCTTCCTCTCGTTCAAAAGGCAACATTGACGCAAAAATGGACTTTTTTTTGTCTTTCGACACCGTGTGAGCGAACCCCTCTTCTGCAGGTGACTTTGAGTCAGTCTCTATTTCGAACAGCTCCCAGGCTCGCCCATCGGGGTCAGAACCTACGAAACATTTAGCAGGATCTCGGCTGCTTATGTGAAACAGGGAAGAATATAGAAAGCCCGAGTGAAGATCAAAAAAGCTAAGGATGTGGCCATTCTGCACAGGATATGGGGCTGCGACACTTCCTATTGGGGTAGCAATCATGAGCAAGCCGCGCACAACAGAGCATCTTGCATGTGTTAAATCCCTCCAATCATGTATAGGACTACGAAAAGGTATCACAGGAGTAGTTTCAGTCGGATTCTCTCCAAAAACGGCATCACCATTAGGGCTGCTACCGTAACGGATTCCTTTAGAATCTACACATGCGCGCAAGGGATGGTGATCACACGCGATATGAGTGAAACTCCCCACGCATACAGCGTGCCGTGCGTTCTCACATTTGACATAGTTAAATGCAACATTACCGCTTGCTTCATTGAATAGAAACTGCGCCAGCAAGCCTGGTTCATCCCCAGCTAGATAGTGTTTATAGTCACGTGCAATCTCACGCGCAGAGCGATTCATACGCCACACGCGTAGCCCAGCCAGCTCACAGATGCAGTTGTTACCCATTGTCCAACGCCGACGGGGGGACTCCAAGAACACATGCGGTCCCTGGCGGTTCCATGCAACCTGCTCACCGTTAAAATATAGACCCCACTGCCCATCAAAAACTAAGGCAATATGAAGAAAAAGGTGAGTGATCGTGGGAGGCAACGGAGCGGATACCACACAAGAACCCCTCGTGTCGTGACGATAGCCACCCCGGATGCCGAAAGCGCCGTCCAGCTGTGCAGTTTCGAGGAACACCTCTCCGCCGGTACTTTTGTCACCGTGTTGGTAAAAGGTGGAGGTATTCTCGGTATCGAGAAACCTTATCCATAACTCCACTGTGACATATCCACCACTCAACTGCAAGGCCAGCTCTGGTGGACCCAAGTCAATATAGCTTCGCTTCATGAGCGCCAAAGAAGTCCGAAGTGTAAAACTTCTCACCTGAGGTGCCTCGAGTGTTGTTACCCACAAAGGTGTCGAGAATGACGTAAAACTGAAGCCGCAGACCTTTACGTAATCGCCTGTCTCAGAACAGGTATGAGAAAGCGTATTGCCCTTAGAAACAGTGGGATCCGCAGAGAGTGCCGCCGCGCCGTCCATAGGCACAGTGGATGATTCCTTGAGATGCTTTTTATACACCAAAAGAAACGTATCTCCCTCGGCAGAGACAAGCTGAGGTAGCGCTTGTAGCCCTCGTGGCCAGGAATCCCCCACATCATCCAGACGGCAAACTTTATGCACCGCTAACGTCATCATGTAGACCACAAATGCAACCCCAGCGTTACTCATTACATCTGTCAATAGGAGAAGATGGGTGCGGACCGTCGCCATACTGGAGCGTGAGACACCCACAGTGTACTGTTTAGGCTCCTTGGTATGACTAGACATCGTAAATGGAGACTCGACACCCTGGGAGTTCGACACCCACTTACTGATGCCATCGGTTGAGTGCACAAAAAGGCACATATTACCATATGCAACCGAAAGAATTAGATGATGAGGACTCAACCCGGTTGGGACTAAGCTATCAGTACTCTTGCACGCTCTCCAAGCCCTACAGAAGTCTGGGAGTTCCAGACTCGGTTGAAGCACTTCTTCATGGTGCAACAGCCAGTTAACAAGCGGACGTGAAACAGTCTGCTGTGGATAGCGCAGAAGATAGCGGCACACTCGTAAGACTTCGTGCACTAGACCCCGTTGCAAAGCAATCAACACAATGAGCTCCATTAAGGCTTCTTGAACAGGACTAAGCTCCTTTTTGTTCTCCCCCTTTGGTGTTTCCACCAATCGGCAGATATCACACACACCAAGCTGAAGAATTCCAGGAAAGATGCGTGACACATCGCCACCAAACCCACTAGTGGCTATCCCAGAGGAGGAGTGCGTCGGAAACAAAGATGAACCGTGGCCGCGGGATACCTCGGCTAGGGAAAAAGGCGGCATAGAAAGCAAAAAGTCCATGAGGCTTTTGATTAATGATGAAGCCATGGGATTGCTATCAGATCCTTGTAATGCGGACGAGAAGAGGTTGAAAACCATTGTCGCCCAGAAGTTGAGACCTACATCATGGAGAGGTATGTCGTCTCCACGCGTCCTTCGTAGGGAGTCATAGGCACGCTGACGTAAGTGTTCAGCACTGACATGAGGGGATAACAACTGACACCTACCTGATGGCATCGCATAGCGCCGTACTGCGGCAAAAGCATTGGCTAAGGTCACCAAACGAGCTCTGGAAGCCTCTATAGAGTCATAGGGCAGGATTTTACTAAAATCTTTTTCATCATCCAAACTTTTTACTGATGCTGAAGTCCGTTCTATGGCACGATCCTTGAAAGCCTCACTGTATAGATAGGACGCCAAAGGCATCCGTTCGACATGCTCATAGGTCAAGGGAATGAACGCAGCCGCAGAGGGCAAGACCCCGCGCTGCATCCAGTCAAGCTGCTTAGTGGTGGAATTCTCACACACCTGATGGTACTCGAAGCGCACTACCTGCTGGCGGTAGTGCAAAGAAATAGCCGGGAAAACCTCAGTGCTTAAGTTGTGAATCTCACCAATCACGTATGTGTTGCCTACGCGCACCATCATGGTAGCGTTGTCGTAATTAAGCAAAAAAACAACGCGGTCACCGGTACCGTAGGTGAGTGTCGGTACATTCGCATCTTGGCGCCGCCAGTTTCCGTAGAACTTTCCCGCCCGGCTTAAGCACCAACCACCTCCTTGTGAAATAAAGGAATCATACTTGCTAAAATTTTGTGGAACAATTCCTAGCATCAGGCCGCTGCCGTCGCTAGTCTCACCTTGATTTTCAATGTAAACAGACCACTCATGCAAACCCCTTTGAATGCCTTCAGTAACCTTTAATGTAACCCAGCTGTTCACAGATTTCATAGCAGAATCTTCAGTGATAACAACATCACCACGTGGAGTAGTGGTGTCGATGAGAAAGTTTTTCCTAGGAGTAGACCCACGCATAATGGCTGTCTGCATTTGTTCAGAAAAAAAAACTATAGCATTTGGATTATGAAGTTGGCTTTGTTGTCCACTAACCATAAGGACATACCGTAAGCTATGTCGGTCCATGGTCTTTTCACCTTCGTTGTATTGGTTTACCTATCAAAAAGAAAGTGAGCGATTTCCTACCTTCAAAACGGAACAATAACGCAATGGCTTTTCAGTGTGATTTTTTTTTTTTGCACACTTGAAACACGCGAGTGATGGAGATCCTCGATATTAGTTTGATTCAAACTTCTCAGAAACTCTTATAAAAAAGAGAAATCTGGAGTCTATATACAAATGCTGTATATGTGTGTATGTATGTATACCGAGTCTCATTTAGCATAAAAAAAAATCTACTAACGAATTCAAAGTTGAAATAAAAAGGAAAAAATGTATGTCTCTATTCATGATACATCCGAAAAGATGTATCGACCTCAGTCAAAAGCAACTAATAATAACAAAAAGCGATGTGTTAAATACTGAGGAAATTTAATATTTAACTATCGCAATGATTTCAGAGTCCCGTTAAGATGATGTGGTTTATTTCCCTCCCCTTTGCTTAAATTAAGACATATCCAATACATCAATCTTTGCGCATTATTATTGCGTTGCCATGCATTTCCCCCCTTTGAATTTACAAGTAATTTTTTTCATATATTAGAAGCAGCAATGCATTCCTCCATATGCTTCAATGCTTCCTGGGCAATCTCCTTTGATGGCAACCGCAACACAAAGCTCTCTGGAAATCCTTCGTCATCGTCTGTATAGTCCTTAAAGGTAGACCATAACAATGCCTTTTCGTTCTTTGGATGCACTCTTACCTTCAAGCCTTTTTGGAGATAGTGGTGGGCTGCTAGCTTGCCAACTGCCTCACGGCGAAACACAAACAAGTATTTGTTGGGGTCATCCTTGCATTGCAATACGCGTGCCTTGCCCTCACCGCGCTCCTTCCACTGGTTCTCACCTTCGTCGAAGCGCAATAGTTTGGCGGCAGTCTCCCACTTAATGTTGTACATATCTGTATCACTCTTAACTTCCACTGCGGCGAACCGGGCGGCTCCTCCATCAGAGACGGATATCTCCTCGATTTCCATCAATTCGCTAGCATTGTTATTTAGATTCGCTGACATTTTGCTGAAAGAAACGTTTGGAAACACCTTATATTGTACTCTGTAATGAAAAAATTGCTAAAGTGCGCAATAGCCTGGTGTTAGGCTAAGAAAAAAAAAGAGGGGAATATTATTGTTAGTATTGATATAGCATGATTAGTTTCAGATCGAAATATCAAAGTTTAGTACTGTTCCTACAATGCATGCAAAATACAATAAAAATTATGTCTCATTTTCTTTGTATCATCTTTAATAGTATCTATTCGTGAAAAAATGCTCAGGAGGGCTGCTTAGAGATGTGAAAGAGAAATAAACGTTACAATATATAAGGAAACAGATTCCGCATCAGCATGATGTGGTGAGTAGCATTGCTAAGATGAACATCACCAACACATCTTGATACACGTAATCCTCCTTGGACATGCAAGTTTACTTCTCAAATACGTTATGTCAATTTTTTTCACCCTGGGTTTCAAATTGATTAAAATTATTGATATAACGCTCATCTCTGTTCACCACTAGTAGCCCTCGCGGAGAAACTTCATCCACCAAAGTGGTGATATCAACCATTAAACGGACCATATCAGCTAGTAACACTTTCATTAAAAGAAATATGCACACTGCCTTAGTGGTCCACAAGCTGATTATGGAGGCAAAGCATCAGCATTTAAAGCAAAACCACGGTTCAATTAAAACTTTTCTGTGACCCAGAAGCCATCCCTTGCCATCACTCCTTGTAAGAAACAAACGAGCGCGCCCAAAATGATCCGCGAACGATTGCCTTACAGGATTGAAGATAGATTGAGGACGAAGCAATCATAGCTACTACTGTAATATACCTAGATTCAGTACTCGTGAAAACAGGTAACATCAAACTATATCCAGACGCGCAAATATAAAAGAAGTAGAATTGTGGCAATTTTACAATGGAATTACAAATGTTGTATTGAGTGGCGCGACGAAATTGATGATTCCCTGTGGCACACCATACATGAAGGAGCCAATATATCTGCATTTGTCTTGCTTTTCCACCAAATAAACACAAGTCTATCCAGAGATATTAACTCCATTATAAGGTGTAAAAAGCCACATTCAGCCGTTTCCACATGCAAAGCACACTGAATACTAAGGCAAACTCCCCAACCACTTCAAGTCACGGAATCGGAAAAGCACCGCCCATACTCCGGACATAATTTTGAAGCTCTTGTTGGTACTGTGATGCGAAAACACGAAAATCTCAATCAACAGAAAATTAATCAGAGTCAAATCATTCCTATAGCTGGAATAGTCAGATTTTTCCGACGTAGGATTCACGGTGCGAGCAATTAGCTCTAATTGCACCTACACTTATGCCACATGGAACAGAAAGGACTTTTAGCTGCGTCTTTGTGTCTAGTTGTTGAGCTAGCCCACCCCACAAACATTATTTCCGAAAAATCGTTACATAGGTATACTCGCAACGCACACGGCCTAGGATGACATCCATTGTAAAAGGAGCTAACGCTGTTTTGGAGCTGAAACTGCGCTTACTTCACTTTACTAGAAGCACAGCGACCTTTAATATTATATATATAATACATATAATCTGATAAAGGTATCTCCATCTGCATCCCCTCCAAAATATGTGTATTAATGTTTACATGTTATATAATCATCACCAATCAGCAAAATAAAGTAATCGTGAAAATTGCAGGCTTAAAGCTTTAAGCCAAGGAAATTATGCTAGAAATATCATACTTGCTCCCTTGACTCAAAAAAAAACATTATTAAATAAAAAAATTCAACATCCACAGTCGAGTTAGCGCACAGGATCACATTCGCCTGCCTGAACTACTGAGACGACAATAGGAAAATAAATCTGAATTTGAGTCGGTATCGCATTAACATCAAGAGATCTATCAAAAACAAAGGGTATTCAAAAGGGGAAAAACGACTCTCCCACCTAGTATGCGGATTGTAACTATCAGGGACGTAAACCAAAAGAATGCTTCAAATCCGCATATGAGCAGCTGTTACCGAGCTCGGTTTTCGCTTTGATGCAAAGAAATTTATCTTCACTAACAAATATGACTGGATGTAGTTTTTCTTTCTCCTTCAAATAAACTGCAAATTCTAAAATATAATCATCATTGCATTTAGGTTGCCCATGGTATTCCGGTATCACTTCGGTACGCCTTTGGATCCTTATGCGGCAAACCTCTGGTGTATCCGGTTGCACGCACTTCTGCTGTGCAAGAAGAAAATTTCTAATTTCACGGGATCGATGACGAAGCCATTCACGCTTCAGATCCATCTCCGGTGATGCCAGAGTCTTGCAGATTCCCTTGTTGAGCTTATCGAGTTCATCGATGACGGTGAAGGGAATGCATATCACACATCGTTCGACAAGCAAATTAAGCACACCAGGGTCCGACTCCAGTAGAGAGGACGTATCAAACACAATATAACGCATGTCCGTGACAGCAAGTGTGTTATTACCACGCTTCACTTCGTTAAAAGTACTCCCATTCTCAGAAGGATGATGAGAAGCTTGTTTACGGCTTCTCTTCGTCACTTTTCTTCGGCTGGAGCCCTGGCTATCAGACACAATATCCGTATGAACGCTTCCTTGAGATGCTTCAACAAGGTGACCCTTATCGTGCACTGCCAGGCGCATGGCTGCGACAGATGTAAGATTCCCAGTAGGTGATGAGCTGCACCCTTCGTCTTCGCGTAAGACGGAGTTATGTTCTTTATCCTGGCGAACATTGTCTTGGCCCATTTTAAATACACTAGTCACTTTGAGATTTGAACCACTGTAAGGTAACGTCCAGCCCAAGGAGGATTGTGGTTTCGCCTCCTTGGGCAAAATACCATTCTCCTTCGAAGATGGGTCTATGACTACAGAATTCTTGCTCGTCTTCACGCCGTTGTCAGTAGACGCACTCCAGAACCATGATTGCCGCATCTGGCTGGGACTTGCACCATTCAGCGTAGTGTTGGCAAACATTGAAATGTGCTGTCTTCCCCGCTTCTGAGGGGGCTCATAACTATGTGTGCTGTCCACTTTCTTTTCTGTTGCAATCACTTCAGGAAAGAAAGAGAGAGACTGTGTACGCATACCAGGCACTGCATGTGATGTGATCGGTTGGCTGACGCTCCCCAAAACTTTCTCCCCTTTGCAAGACACCTGGTGGTCGGCAACTCCTAACACTCCTGTAGAGGTTATTACACTGTCAGTACTACTCAATGATTTATTTGCAGAAAGACACTCCATTTTCGACCGTCCCTGATGCCTTTGGAGCTTTGAACCTGTAGTGTCATCACGCAGCTGCTGAAGGCTCGGAGATGTCCTTAGGTTTTGATCGGCCCCCCGCGACTCTTCATCTTCAGTCTGCTCCAGTCCTTGCGGCATGGACTTAAGAAAAGACCTTGTGCGTGCCAACAATGGGACCTCACGGAAATGACGCCGCTCCGCGTTTTGTCCATTGCCCCTGTCAACCTCCTCTTCATCGTTTTTGAATCTTGAAGACAACTCCGCTGAGGCACGTAGTGATAAAACAGCTTTTTCGTGAATACTACCACGAAGCTGTTCTAAACGGTCAAACAAATGAGGATTAGAAGGCTTCAAGGGGGTTTGAGAAGCTTCAAGAGCCCAAAAAGAACGTCTTGAGGCGGAGCCTTCATGAGAGAATACCGAATGACTTTTAGTTTCCCCGAACACACGAGTCCAAGACCTCGAAAAGCATAGCGACGAAGATGAGTTTTGGGTCATAAGAAAGGTTGAGTCAGGATTAAAAATGCAAAAGTCAAGAAATAAATAATCTTTTATACCTAATATCTGTTTTAGAAAAATATACTTTTGACTGATTCAACTGCCGCTTGCAAAAAGAAAATGCGTAGACTATGATCAGTTGACATCAAAAAAAAAAGTACTTCACAACAGATCAGAATCCCAAGTAACACGTACACCTAAAAAGAATACTATAGTAGAATTCTAAAGAAGGGACACCCAGAACAAAAAATCCGAGAACCCTATAAAAAATATATATAAATAGGGAGAAGTATAAACTGAAGAAAAATAAACTAAGGCAAGTAAGCGTGAAGAATAAATTAAAGCATAAGAAGCTTTTAAATGCTCACATTTAAAGATAAAAATTTATGAAGAATAAATATTTAGTTGAATAAAATAACCAACAGAAAAAAAAAGATCCTTATATAAAAAAAAACTTTTAAAAAAAACCTACCAAGCGGCCCGTCAAGCATGCCACTGACAAGAGCTTCTCAAAGCATCTGGATATGGAGCCACACTCACATCCGATGGCAAGCCTCGCACGTGGCGGCAACCACCTTCCGGACTCCCCTTTCCCCATCCACACACAACTACCCGCCCACACACACACACCTACACCCTCACACTGCAACCGGTACCGCTGTGGTGACCTCAGACCTGTTGAGTTTTTTGATTTTGGCTCATACAGTGCGCTCATGGCTGTGCTCGCGCACAACAAAAGTTACGTTTCTCATCACGTCACCCAATAGCTTCACGGCACCACGTTTCAAGCAACAACAAGCACAACAACATTTAATATCTCGAGGCGCACCAAGATGGCGTAGGGTATGGTAAAAACATATGTTAAACCCGCGCCAAGGCTAATACCGCTTTGCTACACACATAGGGGGGGGAAAACAAAAGTAATATGTGTGGGGAGGGGGGAGGGGAGGGGGGGCGGCGGGGGCGCTCTCGGCAACACAAATGCACATGTGCACCAGAGGCCGGACTTTGCTCAGACGAAAGGTGATTGTTTATGCTTGCTTATCATGTCGATATCGGTCAAACTGTTTGGACCAACACATAATTGTCCATCCTCGCAAAGTGCCGCGGCCCCAAAGAGCTTCTCCTAGGTGAAACACACACACGCCAAACGTCCGATTGCACACATCAGTGTGAGCTGAGTTGAAGATGTGTCTTCATGAATATTGAAAATCTCAGGCTGACAGGAAACATATGACAAATCTCATCATGCGCGTGCACTGCAACGTTCTACTTGACAGGACTCGCCCCCAATACATCCTAAGCCAAGGGAAGCTAGAAGCGGGAGAAAGGGGTAGGGAGAAGAGTTCCACTAACACATCTTCGCAATGCAAGAATCATGAAAAAAAGGGAGCCGCCCGCCCGGCTTCTCGCACCCCCCCCCCTCCCCTCCCATCTTAATGGCTCGGGAACACAACAGATGTTGTTACAAGCTTATTGTGAAAAATGCTTTGCAATAATATATACTATTTTACATTTCAATTGAGTGTATTACTCGAACTTATATTTTCATTCCAGAATGCAACTCTTATTTAGAATAGCATCTGCGCTTCTCCTTGTGCTTGTAAGAAACTGTGAGATTTTTTAAGCTCTAGATTTTCTCACGGATGTTTTTTTTGATTTTCCAAGCGCTGATTCTTCTTCAGGAAAGTCCTCTGGCGGGTTAGCACGACGCATGGTGTACGGTATCGAATTCTGAAATTCTATCATTTTTTGGTCTTCTTCCTTTGATCGTGCTTTTTCTTCGGCTAATGCTACCACAAAATCATTTGCCTGCAATGGACGTTGTATGAGTTGCTCAATACGACGCTCAATTAATGTTTTATCTACCATTCTTTTCAGTTGCCCAGTTGTCCAGCCTTCTGTGAGGAGGGCCAACTGCTCGTACAAAAATGGTGACCGCGCATCGTTGGTTGCCGCATTTCTTTCCTGCCCTGGAGGGATCTTGCTTAGGACAAAGTGTCGGAGAAGAGATATCCGGGTGGCGTAATCGGGCGATGGAAACCACAACGCATGAGGGAAGACGTTCACTAAGGTATCACGATCTGCCATCCACGGCTCACACGTTGTGGCAACAAGCAGCACACGATCCGACGGCTGCATGGTATTTAAACCCTTCAAAATTTCTTTCTTGATTTTTTTGCCACGTAAGGCGAGTGGATCCTTCTTTTTACTGGTACCTTTCGCCGGAAACACCTTTTCGATGTTATCCATGTAGATTATTGACGGTCCCATTATGCGTGCGACATAAAAAACTAGTTGCACGATTTTGGGGATGCCCTTGGTGGAGCTGAAATTCGCTGGAGAGAGGTTAAAAAAATTGGCCCCGGATTCGTTGCATATAGCATATGCCATGGTAGTCTTCCCCGAGGCTGGGAGCCCGTAGAAAAGGAGAGCATTCTTTTGGGTCGTGAGGTCATGGATTACCTGGGAACCCAGCGGCAGGATCCCGTACTCTGTTGCGGCGCGCCGGATTTGGGCTGCGGACGGCTCCTTCAACCAGGTTGATTGGTTCATGTAAGCCTCAAAGAGTTTTTCGAACGCCTCCTTCTTCACTCCCCCCATCGCTGCCTCCACCGAATCGTTCCAATTGCGCAAGATTCTCTGCCATTTCTTCGTGATCTCCTCATCCGGGCGCTGCTGACGCACGATTTGCCCGAGTGGACTTGCCATAAGGTTGTCAGGGCCGACGAAACTTTGCAGTCGTACCTCGACCGGCACCAGCTGCCACTTGTTTTCGTACACCAGCGTGTTCGTGGAGGTCTCCAGGTCGACCCCTTTTGTGGGATCCCGTAATTTTAGTTTTTTCGGCTTGGGCGCTTTCTTGCTTTTTTTCTTTGGCTTCTTTTCACTCTTCATTTTCGCCTGCAAGTTTTGCACCTCAATCATCACCAGTTCATCCACACAGTTCCGCAGCTCCGATAAGATGCCATGAGGACCTTCAAGCAGTTCTTGTTTCAGTATTTCCTCCGCGACCTGACGGTTTAGGTCGCCCTCTACCAGGCAGTGTTGCTGATAATGAGGCAACCAGACGCTCCAGTAGCGCTCCCCGGTTTCTTTCATCGGCCGCCAAAAGCAGGACTCGACTGGGGCGCCGCCTGGGGGGTCGACTTCAGAGCCGTTTCGCCGCCACTTCCCTAGGATGGTGCTGCCCGCGCGACTCCCGCGGCTCAAACTCCCCGCCCGT